TGACATGCACGAAAAGATATGTGCATGACTTGATTTCACCTTTTTCATTTGGCGTTGTAAGGTGATACAAGAGTTGTAATCTATGCGCAGTTGGAAGTGTTTTTTAGCTTGAGAAGAAACATTCTTAACTCTATCTTGTAGGGATTAAAATCAAAATTTTGATAGATTTTGATAAAAGTTGATGACATGTACAGTTGAAAAGTTGTGATTTCCATGAAATGTGTGGTTAAAATTAATTTTGACTTTAATTTAAATTAAAATATGAATTTTAATTTTTACCGAACATGACTTAGGTCCGTTTGATTGCAATAATGAAATTTGGGTGGAAAGAAAATGAATTTCAGGGAATTGAATTGTTTAGAACTTATTTTATTAGAAATTGTAAATTAATTGTGTTTGATTAGTATAATTTTTCATTTGAAAAATATTGAAATTTTGAATTTTTTAGTGTTCGTTTGACTTTATTTTTCATGAAAATTGTCAATTAAAAGGATAAAATTTGTTACAATTGGGGACAGAATTTGTTTCCATTGCAAAAAAAAAAAGTTGCCCTCAAAATCAAGAAAATGTGAGCACGTGGGTGAAAGACGGAAAATTTGAGCAATCAAACATGAAAAAAAGTGAAAAATGAAATTTAATTTCCATCTTCCATGGAATTGAAGCGCAATCAAACATGGCTTAATGTTTTCTCTGCCGTATCAAATGTAATTCCAGTTCACAATGATTTCCGTTAATTTAAATATTCCTTTATCACACTTTTGTGTTTGGTATGGAGTTGTAATTTTGAAAAAAGAAACGTTGTGGATGAGTTTCATTGCTTAGTGGGCCTACCACTTCATTATTGTAGCAGAAATGTACTACTTATGGATCTTGTGAGGTTTGAGAAAATAGAAATCTTCCACAAAATAGAGGTCTCACTATCCAATTGATATGGAGTATGACTAATCAGCAAAGATGATGATTAGTAGAATAAGAGATATAATCAATTTGAAATGATTCTACTGCAAGAGACGCGTTAATACAAGCATCGGCCAGGTCAACTAATTGGACTAAACCATTGCCTAGATTAAGCCTAATCATCAAAGATGGGAAAGACATTAGTAAAATGAGAGATATAATCACTTGGATCAATTTTAAATGGTTCCAATTCAAGAGACGCGTTAAATCAAGTTTAGGCCAGATGAACTGAGTAGGGCCTAAATCGTTGACGATATGTACAAATAGATTGTTGACAATAAAAAGCGATGAACACTGTAGTTGACTTTTATGTCACTACGACTCAGTCGCTCATTTTTAATTGCTGACATTGTTGAAGGCAGAAAATGACGTGACACTTTTTGATCAACTTTTATAGGTTTTAATTGAATAAAAGTGTTATAATGCTGACATTTAGTAACTGTACACATAGAATCTCAGTTTCGATCTCCCATTGCATTTACCCTACGACCCTTTATATAGGCTGATGAACTTATAAGCTTGTTGTCCTAGTCATATCAAGTTACAATGTTTGGTCTAGGGCCACATCTTTGAAGGATTTTTGATTAGTTGGTAAGCTCTAGTTGGTGAGCTTGGTTAGCGAGGGGTGTTAGGCCCGTGTCCTAAATTATTATGTCGTCTTCTTAATTGGTTGGTTTGGACGGTGTTACCGTTAAGGGGAGCACTCCCTCTACCACAACATAATGATGTTCATATCATGTCTACTATAGTTTGAATTCGAACTCTATCGATGGCGTGTTGGGTCAAGGTGCTGATTTGAATTGTTTGGACTCTTCAACGAGCAAGTTCATCTTACCAAGTCAAGAGGAGACCTCCACCTATTCGACGTGAATTTCATGCCGACAATAGCAGACAATATGTTCTTATATATAGTGATGAAATTCAGGTACTCAATAATTTTGTGAATAGTAAATAGAACCCAACCCTATTAAGCGATTAATTCTGACTCAAACATCTTGATTGTCATATTGGCATGGGGCTAGGCAAACACGCTACTAAATAGTTATTTGTTACTATTATTGGAGGTGACTACTCTATCGCATGTTCGTGTGATGTGGCTGTTGATCCAAGAAGGCGATTGTTTTCTTATTTTCGAATTGAGTAATATTATTGAATCCATTGGACCTGTCTAAGTGGACTCTCACTGTTACTTAAATTGATATTAATTCCCACTAATGCTAGATATTATTATTATTATTATTAATTGGTATTGTTTTTGGAGGGGAGGGGGCAGGTTTATTTTTTTGGCTTGGTCTGCTAACTATTGAACAAAAATCTCAAATATAATATTTGGGTGGGGTTGTGTTTCTCATTTGTTGGATAAGGAACATCAATTTAGGTATTGAACATCCCAAGCGGTGCTTCGATTTCTAAACATGACGTATTATGGCCATTGTTATTGTAAACAAGAACGGCAATTTCAATTTGGGACCACCTTAATGATCTGAATCCTGAATTTCTGAAATTACTTTTCTTAGGCAAATGTTTTCAAAACCATAATAAACGTACCAAGAAAATTAATTATTATATTAACTTCAACCATCATTTTTTATAAGCCAAAAGGGACGCGTAAAAGAAAATAATATTTAGTCAAAATCTTTGAAAACTAGATGTCATTTCACGTTTCAACCCATGCTTCACGAGATAGGCTTCAAATTTCACATTCATTTCGGTTCCTTTACAGCATAATGACTATGCTGAATTGTACAAAGATTGAACGTTTGGTGATGTAATATCCATAGAGGAAGGCTCCCTTGAGATCATGAGTATAAAGGATGCACAGACCCTGGTCAACTTGGACATATCCCGCGATTAACCTCCACCCATCACTGAGGGGTCGGGGATGGGTGGTCCAGGACATAGTCTGGTGTAAGTTAGGATACCTGGATATCAAAAAAAAGATTGAACGTTTACCATTACAGTTACAAATTTATTCATGGGCGTATTCAATTGAGACTTTTAATAACTTTTTGAGATTTAAAAAGTTTAGGGGTATTTAATGTAAACTTTTTAAAACTCTCTAGAAATATTAGTATATTCAATTGAGACTTTTAAAAACCTTTAAAAAGTCTCTAAAAGTCACGATATATTCAATTAAAACTTTTTAAAAGTTTATATAAATCTCGAAGTATTCAAATTTTAGGGTGTGTTTGAGCCACATTATTTTGGAATAATGTATTTTGGAATAATATATTAATGGAGAATGTGTAGTTGAAAAAGAAGGAAAAGTTATTGTTGTGATAAAAAATATTATTTTATTGAAAAATGTGTTGTTGAAAATATGTAGAAGAATTAAAATGAAAATTTTAACGTAGCTTAAACAAGGGTTTAATGACTTTTAGAAACTTTTATAAAAGTCTAAATAAATGGTACTAACTTTTAAGCATAAAGAACTAAAATAAAATTTCGAAATCTGTCTCTCATTAATCACAAGATTTTTGGAGACTTTCACCCAAAAAAAGAAAGAAATTAATATTTATTTATTTTTTCAATATTTCTCTTTCCTTTTCCCTTTTACGAACATTGGAGTTATGACTAAATTTTTTTTTTTCTATTTGAAGCTACCAAAAATTGTACATGTTGACTTTCAAGATTGACGACTAAGAATGAGCACGAACGAGATCTTTCGGTACCGAAACAAAGGCGCCGATGTGTGTCATGGTCACCCCTCCAATATTTAAGTCAGAGAGGGAATTTGTGAAAAGATATATGTTGAGAATGGTGTAAAAACGTACCTGAATAATGACTTAGGGTGCTATATTTATAGAGATATGTATCGCTTTCCTAGTAGGACTAGGTTATTCGGACTTCCCAGAGTCCTATGACATTTTGAAGTCATAACTTGATCGATGTTGTTCTATAAAAGTGTTTGAACATGGGTAGAACTCTACTGATTGAGTCATTCTTTGGTGAACTAGGAGCAGTATGATTCAACTTCTTTGTAACTAGATAAGTTCTATCTAATTGGAGAGTCCATAATGAAACATGAATTGTCAGATGCGAGGCTAATGCACGATTTCGAGGATGTCCCAAGCTAACGGGCAAACATAATTCTCGAGGAGACATCCCGACAATGTCTATGATTATGGGGTGTTATATCATGTGCTCGAAGACCATCATGCCGAGGTACATTGACTGAGGATGGAAGTTCATAAATGATGGGAACATATCATCATGATTAATGCTCGGGTTGTGACAAATAATGGAATAATCACTATTGATTACATTAGTTTCTAAATTTATTTTTTTCTCTCTCTCTCTCTCTTTTTGTTTATTTTCTATAAAAAGAAAATTAAATTGTATTCGTATAACCTTTTTTTTTTTCTTTTTATCATTCATTTTTTTGTGAAAAATATCCAATTTTAATTAAATTATAAAATTTTATATAAACTAATTTAAATATTAAGAGGGATGTATTCAATTAGATCTTTTGAAAATTTTGATGGATTATTTTTAAATGATAAGTTCGGTGAATTTCGTGGATTTTTTAAAATTTTTTATGGAATTAGTAAAAATCTTTTGTAAACTTTCATTTTAAAACTTCTATAAACTTTTTTAGAATTCAAAAAACTTTTGAAAATTTTGATTTGAATATAATTCATGTGAATTTAGTGCAATATCATGAAATTATCACATACGAAGTGGTGATTTGATCAATTCCCCTCTTCTCCACCTCATATGATAAAAAAATATTTTAAAAAGAATAAAAATTTAAGATCTTAATTAAATAAATAATAACAATAATTATACATATAAAAAATAAATTTGAGATGCCAAGTATTACTATGGTTGAATTGGGTCCCTCTCTTTTAAGAAATTCTATGAAGCCATGAGCCAATTCAAGACCAAAAAGGGAAAAGTAATAGCCATGGAGAGACTAATTAACACAAGAAAGACTTTCGGTTGAAAGAAATTCTTCTTCTATTACTGCTACAATTTCTGAAATAAAACACAAAAACGGTAAATTAAAAAATACAAAAGGAGAACACAGTAAATTTCATTGTTTACGTCCGCTTTACTGGGACGACCGATGACCGGTGTCTCGACAACCGAGTCATTGGTTCGAGCACTGAGTCTCTATACCGATTTGGCAGAACCTGAGTTCTACCCCGCTTCGACCGCCGCAACGCTGGTGACCCCGTATCCTCAATATCTCGGCCAATATTCGCCGCCGTCAACCACTGGCTTCGGCGCCTCATCGTCTTTTCATTCTCCACCATCTTATTCCTCTTCAACTCAAAGGTTTGCTTCTCGTATTCGGAATTATTGTAGTCTTTGAACTCACCCAGTATCAATTTCGCAGCTTCAATGAGTAAATCCAATTTATTCTCAGCTTTATCGCAATACTTGTCATTATTTCCTTTCATCTCGTACGGGACGCTTTTAGAAACGCCGTTAGTGTTGACACAGCCGTTTTCATGCGTCTTTTCACCTTGTTGTTGGCATTGATCACCACCTCCACCACCGCTCAGGGACGGCAGATCACCTGTTCCTACGGCTGTGGTACCTGGGCTCAGCCGTCCGCCCGCTAAAGACTCACAAGATTCATCCATCTCTGGCAAAATGCAAACGTCGCCGCTCGAGTCAAATTCAGAACCATTATTTTCTTCACTCATTTTGCTATCTACATATGATTCTTTGGTTTTTGAACTGAAAAGTGGTGGCTCCGCCGTGGTGGTTTGAGGGGGCCGCACCGTGGAAATTATGTGCAAAATCTTGAGAAAAGACAATTGGGCTTTGGAACCTCTCCTGGTTGCACAACACATGGAATTGAAGCTGATCCGATTAGGGTTCTTGGGTGATTTACATGGAGAAGAAGAACCAGCCATAGATTTGATCATACAATTGACTATTGAGAAAGAGGAGAGAAAGGAATAGTACGTGGCGAATTTATTTTAGGCTATGTTATTCTTTGGTCGGAGCTAGCAATTTGATTTTATTTCGTTGTGTCAATCAATTTTATATAATTGCCCTGTATGGTACACATTAAAATTTTCATTTTTATTCTTCTACTCATTGTCAACCACACATTCTTAAATAAAATAATATTTTACATTACATCAATAACTTTTCCTTCTTTTTCAACCACAAATTCTCCATCAATCTACTATTCCAGAATATATTCTTCTAAAATAATGTGGATCAAACACACATGTCATTATCATGATTCAATTGTACGTAACATTTCACTACAATCGCCCGACTTCTTTTCACTAATTTTAAAAGGATTAAAATGATAAATTTGCATTTTATATATAAAATAAATAAAATAAAACTTATTTTCAAAAAAAAAAAAAGTTACTTAGAAAAGTTAAATAAAATAAAAACTTATTTAAAAAAAATGTTAGAAAAATGAAATAAAATAAAAAATTATTTTAAAAAAAACATTTTTAAATTAAAAAAACTTTTATTTTTATTTTTTAAAATTTATTATGCCCCCGTTTGGCCCCCATTATTTCAAATTATAATTTTTGGAATAGTATTTTTTTGGAAAATGTGTGGTTGAAAAAGAAGGAAAAGTTTTTGGTTTATGTGTAATATTATTTTATAGAAGATTGTGTGGTTTGAAAATAAGGGAAAGAAATTAAATAGTATTTTTTTGGAGAACGTGTGGTTGAAAAAGAAAGAATATTTTTTGATTTACGTATAATATTATTTTATTAATAATTATGTAGTTGAAAATAAGAGAAAAATATATTTTTGGGATAACGGGAACCAAACGGGTGCTATATATAAAATGTAAAGTTATCATTTTACTCCTTTTATAATTAATAAAAATAAGTTGGATAGTCATGGTGAAATATTATATTAAATTGGGTGGTCATAGTGTTACTAAATATAAAGTTGAATGATCATGATGAAACAAAATCAAATTTGGTGGTTATGATGACGTTAAATATAAAATTGTATTATTATTATTCTTTTCTTTTTTGATAAAATAACAATAAACAAAAGGGAATTATAAAATAAAGAAACCTTTTATTGACTAAATAATACACTTGGTTACTTTTCTACGTGTCCAACGAGCTGCTGAATTATTTGGACTAAGAAGGTTGTGGCCCTTTGATAAGATTTTTAAAAAAGTTAAAAAATTACTTCTGAAATGAAAAAATTATTTTTAAACGTGTTTTGATAATTTTATAAATTTCTTTTTCTTGTTGTAAGAACTTTTAAATGACAATTATTTTCAGTAACGCATCCTCCCTATCAGCAAAAGTGACATAATTATTGGTCCTCCCGAGTAATCCTTGTGCTTTGAGCACTCGTGTTTTGGTTTAGGGTATAGGGTTTATTATATCGAATTAAATTATCAATATATATTGATTTCAATCATAATTACTAACAATTATATAATTGCTTCTCACCAATGAAGTTTCCGTAGCTGATTGTTTGCTCTATCAATTTTTTTAATATTATTGTTACTGGGAAGCTCCCTTGTGATTATATCAAAGGTCTCTGAAATAACGAGATTCGATCCAACTAATAAATAGTGAGGGTGAATAAGTGTAATGTGCAGAATTAAAATTAAGCAAATAATAACATACAATAAGTCACAAATTTGAGGAACTTTTCAAAAGATAAAAATCCTCCAAGCACTCCTTGTTAGTAAAAGCTCAACTCTAAAATATTTGGCTTGCAAAATTGGTCCAAACACAACTGAACTTTAGTAGATTCTGACCCCCAACCTATAATCACCAAAGAATTCCTCGATTGTGCACTCCAACACCAACTCCAGAACTTCTGAACTTCTTTTCTCATTGTGGATCACCAAGAATGAACTCGTTCTTCACAAACTTGAACTCTCCTGTTTCTTTAGTTTTTTAAAGGCTATTTGGTAAAAGATGTTGTTGGTGCTTGATCTTTTGATATTTTGGCATTTTGATATTGTGGTTAAATCAATACAATTATGTAATGGATTATGTAATTGATCTTCGACAAAATGTTTTTTTTGAATGAATAGGAGCTCAACCCACAATAGGGACGAAATATGCCTTGAGTATATATAGTATAGAGTGTTTGAGGTTGTTTGGTATTGTAAAAAACTAGAAAATCATGAGCTAAGGTTTGGCCAATAATACAATCCCTCTATGCGGACATCGAGCTGTCGTTCTCCGCTAAAATCGCCGAGCGATCTGCTTGGAGGTTAGCTAGCGATTTTGACACTTTCTTGAGCCGTCTTTGATCCCTTCAAAACAAACTCCCAACACCCGACATCTCGACTACTTACAACTCGATTAAATGATATTCTGAACACTGAACTTTGCCCATATATTTTGGACCTAACAGTTTCGAATTGCTTGAGCTGTCAGTGCTAATAAGCGTCGTCCTTTTACTTTAAAAAGTGCACGATAAAATTTGTTCTATAGTTGCGAAACCTTATTCCCAAACTACCTCCATGTTTCAACTCCTACATTTATTCTTATCACATCATGGACTGTACAGTACGCTCACTCGAGCCGTCATATGATACCACTTGACTTGGTTTTACTCTAGTGTGTTACGTATTTATGCATCTATTGTTGCGTTTAAGATTGAGGACCAACTATACAATAATCAAGATTGAGTTTGTATTTTCTAATGTAAGACCGTGTGTAAAACATCATTAATTATACCCCTAAATAGGAATATTCGTAGATTAAGGATGTTTCCCTATATAAAATTTTAATTTCTATTCCCCCTTTCCATATCCCATATTAATTTTATGATTTTACTGCTTGGCTCTAAATTCGTGAATACGACAAGCTATAAAAGACAAAGCCCTTATAAAATCAGATTTTTAGTAAATTTTGATAAAAATTGAAATGTATGCTTGAAATGTTGCAAGTTCAATAAAATATGTTGTTAAAATTAATTGTTGACTCTCTAACTTAAATTTTAATAATTTTTTGAGTGTTTTTTTAAAAGAATATTTTGGATTTAAACTTTTAATCCTATTTGATTCAGCTAAAAATTTGAGTTAAAATTTAGATAATAATTAATAAAACATTGGTTTTTTCTGAACGAATCACCCTTACCTTCCATGTTATCTCCTCTCCTACCTCTGTGCTCTTGTGAACCTAAAGCTCTGAAAACCAACAATGTCATGTTGGAATTAAATAGAAATATGGAAGAGTGACTTTCGTGTCAATTTCGACCAAATATTCGAATTTGATTTAATAGTCAAATTATGAAAATAATAAACTGACTTGTTCTACTCGTCGAATATATCATCTTGGTATATTTGAAATCTCAAAACCAATTTCGGGTGAATGAGAATTTACGGTCTAAATTTGGAAGGAAAAAGAGAAGAAACTGGCTGAGTATTTATCTCTCTCCGTCGCTCACCTAGTGCTCGAGCGACAGGCGAGCGACGGAACCTCTGTGTTTGACGCTCGAGAGATGCAAGGGTGACATGCTAACGATAGCAAAAGCTGCGACCATTGACAAAGGTTGCTGAGTTTTGGGGTGCGACGTTTTCCTCGCAACTTTTCCTCCTCTATAAATAAGACCTTTGAGGACTTCCATTTAATCATCTCAATGATATGCAATCATAGCATAACATAAAATTCCATATTTTCTTAGCCAAAACTTTGCATAAAAGCTATTTTCCATCTCATTCAAAAGGAGTACAATAATCTAATTTTGGTTTGTTGATTCTTGTATTTTGGAGTACTACTAACACAAGAAGATTGTCTTTATATCTTGGGAATTGATTGCCATCATCCTTAGGCGAGGTAAATTCGATTTAAGGACAAAAAGTTCCACTATTGCCTCAACTTTACATCCATTTCACTTGGTATTACTTCTGCATTCATTTTCTTTGGTGTTTATTACTTATTTCCTTGTCGTTACTCTGTCAATTTTTAGTAAGATTGGTAAGTTTGATTTTTGGTTTAGAGTCTGTTTGATGGATATTATTGAGAAAAAAATGTATTTTAAATAGTGATATAATGAGAAATATACGGTTAAAAAGTAAGGAAAAATTATTTATTTGAAAATATTATTTTATTGAAAAATATATGGCTGAAAATGAGTTTTGAAATAAGGACCATACTACGTGTACCGAATTTTTTTTACTTAATTCCTTACCGACTACTCACCATTAGGAGGTGGGGATGGTTTTTTTTTATTGGATTAAACCATTTTACAAGAAGAAATTTGACACTCTAGTGATACCTCTCACATTTGTAGTGAGACCCATATGAATTAACTTTAGTGTTGAAAAGTTCAATTTGTTTAGGCTTTGCCTATTCAATGTAGAAGGTCTTTTTGGTGATTTATCGCATTTACTATTATGGAAAACACAATACTGGTAAAAACTTCTATAGACATTTTAGAATTGTCGAGCACAACTTGACTCAACTTCGTTTAAATTTATCAACCAAACACCAGAGATGAGAAGGAACACAAGTTTTTTCACATAATAACCAAATGGAGCCTTAATGAAAAAGCTTTCTGGCACACACCAATTTATGATCGACCAACTGAAGCATTAATGCTATCTGTGTTTTGATTAGAGGAAGGATTGATTAGTTTGTAGTTTGGTTTCCATTGTTAGTTGTGAATTTTAAAATGCAGTTTCGTGTGTATTTGATAATGATGTTATAACTGTTCTATGGAAGATCGAGAAAGCAAGGTCTTGAGACTAAAGAATTCAGTTCGATGTTTCTGCTTCTTCGTATAATTCAGATACTGAACCATTATCCCGATGGAAGATTGAGATTTTTTTTTTTTTTCACATTTTTGATCATTTTCAGAGGTTATATTATTAAATTCTAAGTCCATAGTATTTGATGTTTTCAGTTTTAAAGTGGCTGGTTTGATGAATCCTATCTGTTGTACTTCTTAG